CCAATGCAAAGGAAGTATCAGACTGTCTTAGTGTGGACCAGGAAGTTGAGTAAGGTTAAGAAGCTTCATACCCTACCATATTTCTTTGGGTCTGCTATGAGGCAAGACTGATCCAGGACTGTAGTACTTCCGCTACTCATTTTCAGGATTTGGTATGATGCTCTATAGTGAACCTCTGAGTAAGTTTGTGTCTACAGAAAATCAGTTTTCTTCTGCCATAGTTCCTGTGGCAGAAATGTGAGACCATTTTTGAGAGGTTGGTCTGTATTGTGAAAGGGGCACTATGAAATGCTTCAGTGATTAAAAACTTGTTTTTCAGGGCAAGAACTCACATGGGTGTTAACATATATATTCACACTGGTAACCTGTATGGGGAAATATTAAGATGATTTTACAGATAGAAAAAGCCTCAGAAAGCTGACTTAAAACCACCTAGTGGTATTTATGAGTGAAAATAACAAGTGGAAACACCCCAAATAAAACTGCATTCTTTCTACACCTCTAGGAAAGAAAATAAAGCACTACTTCTACTCTTAAATTTAATTTCCTCGTTTGTCTTGGTTGAGTCTATTATGCAGGTGTCTGTTCATGCAGGTATGTTGATGTAGGGGTGTGATCCTTGGCTCATATGGCTGTGTTGATTGTGAAATCCTAGGTGTGGTTATAATTAAACAGGTGAAACTACTTTAATTTTTGTGAATTGTATTGCAAACTACATCAGTCAGATGTCCTTTGCTGTAATAGTTTACTCTGGGCCAAGTTTGCCACTAAAGTTGTCCCTATTTAGGGTATATTGAAACCATTTTAATAAACTAGCTCTTCAGCATTGAACTTGAAACTACTTTTAATAATGAAGCACTAGAACTAATTTTGCTTTCTGTGAAAAGGTTGTTTTCACCAGTAACAGATGCTTTAAAAAAAAGTAAATTTAAAGTACCTTCACAGCTTCCTGTACCTCCTTTGGTATCCCAGAAAATCCGTAGGTTAAAAATTGCTACTGGGAGTAGTGCTGCAGTAGTGAACTGGTGGTTACCACCTGGAATAAGCAGTCTTGTTAAGGAACTGAATCATGTTCAGGTGAAGCAATGAAATGATAGAATGAGGAACTTAATTCAAACTCATGTCTTGACAGAGACAGTTGTAAAGGATGAGGTAGAGGCCGTAGCATTGAAATTCTCTATAAAATGTGTTCAGTGAAGAAGGAATTTTGCCAGATACGATACCACTGGCTTTTGTTTGGAGTTCTGAAAGATTAATGAGCTTAAGTCTTAGCATTTCAGTATTCAGTTTTTAGGTACAGTTGCTGAAGTAAGAGTTCATTTTTTGAGCCAGTTGTGTATGCTAAGGCTGCCACTATTTTAATGAAGTTTCTCCCTTCACCTAACTATTCTAATACATTTGTATAAATTACCATACTACTGCATAACTATTGCTAGGAGCTCTTCTAAGCCATGCCACCATTGAAATGGCCTTAAAAAAAGACTCTTTTTTACTTTTCCTTTTGCTAACCAATGCTATGAAAATGTAGTAATTAAACAAAATATTTTGCTAATATACAAGTTGAGTCTCACCTGCTTTAAATTTGACCTCAAAAAAATCTTAGCTTGGTCGCTGTGTGCAGATTTCACTAGATTTCCAGATAAAGGTCAGTTAAAGTCAAATACCTGTACTTTACAAGCAGAGCTTGTATTAACTTCTGCTAATAACAAGAATTTGTAATTTTTAGTTACTTGCATTGCTCAAAATTAACTAAATAGTTGAAAATGAACACTTATGACATTCAGTTGATATTGAAACTTGCAATCAGCATATGTTTTGAAGTAGTTATGGAGCTGAATATAAATTTTTGTAACTTCCTACCTAAAAGGGCTGAAATATTTTTTTTTCTTGGAAATGAAGTTAATTTAAATGCTACAAAGTTATTTAAAACTTCTAAGCATTACTGAGGTAGTTGTAACCTTGTGATTCTGAGTATTAAAAAGCCAGGCTTTTCCATCAAGTAATGAACTTGTGTAGTTTTCATGAATGTGGTTGAGTTTTAGGTATGAATTTTAAGATTATTTGTGAACTGAGAGGAAAAAAAATGGCAGTTGTGAATATGTCTGGAGTTTTGGGAGGACTGTATCATGATCAGCACTTCTGTGAAAATTTGCAATACATCTTTCTAAAAAACTTACTGATCTTTTTTTAGTTGTGTACAAATTCCTCTCTTTACCTCTTCCTACTCTGTGTTAACAGGATTAAACTTAGTGATAATATATGACTTGGTTTGTATTGCAAGCCTCCTCCTAAATTGGAGGAAGAGCTTGTAGGAAAGCTTTTTCAGAGTTTGGATCAGCTTTATTGTTGTTCAGATATATGCTTGAAAACAGTGGACTCAATTGATTTTATGAGTTATTTCTGGTGCATGGATGCCTTTACCTTTATGATTTCCAGGAGGGCGTTTGATACATTTGAAAGAAGCATAGTTAAATTTTGTGGGTCTGTGGATGTTTGTATTTGTACTAGCAAGGTGAATACTTAAAATGCAGGGTAGGCTTGCCCCAGTCCAGCATTGGTAGAACCCTTGGCAGTGTACACAGCTGAGCTGCCAAAATGACTGTTCTGTAAGCCATGGAGGTAGTAGCTGCATGATACAGTGACTGGTGGACACTGGCGTAGGGGCGTGCAACTCATTGGAGTAGTGGTCTGTCAAACCTGGGGCATGCCTCTGGGTGTGAATAAGGAAATGGTTGGGAAAAGCAGTCAAAGCCCGTGGCTTCCCAGCACCTCAACTTCAGCAGAAAGATGACTCACAGATTATCTTGCTTGTTTCACCAGCTCTATGGAATCCATAAGCAGTCATAACTGATCAGGACTGTCCGAAATCATGCTTCTCTTGCATATCACAGAATCATTTTGATTAGAAAAGTCTCTTTAAGATCATTGAGTCCAACCATTAGCTTAATTCTACCAACCATTAACCCAACTCCACCAAGTCCAGTGCTTAGACCATGTTCCTAAGCACATCTACACATCTTTTAAACACCTCCAGGGATGGTGACCAGCTCCCAAAGCAGCCCATTCCAGTGTTTGATAACCTTTTCAGTGAAGAAGTTGCTTCTGATATCTAATCTAAACTTCTCTTGGTGCCATTTTCTCTTGTCCTATTGCTTCTTACTTGGGACAAGAGGCCAGGCCCCACCTTGCTACTACCTCCTTTGAGGTAGTTGTAGAGAACATTAAGGTCTCCCTTCAGCCTCCATTTCTCCAGACTGAACAACTACAGAATCCAGGAAGGAGCAAAGGTCTTTGGGTAATATTCAAAGATGAAGTTATGGACTTCATTCTGCCTCCAACCCCTGTCTGAACAGTGCCCAAAATGCTAATTGTCATTACTGATCAGAGCACTTGCACTGGAGGCTCTGGAAGAGCTAAAGGAACTTCCTGTTGTGGGAAATACAAGCCTGCTTTTACAGAATGAATTGAAGTAAATGGGTAATCTACAATGCACCCATGAGTTATGTATGGTGAGACCAAACTGCAGCCCTCTGTCATCTTTGGTGTTCTCACTGATACCTTAGCTCTTCTGTGGTGTTCTAGTTGTTCTTTTGCTTGTTTTCTCTGCAACTAGGATCTTAATTTGGTTTTGCTGGTTTTGTGTATAATTGTTCTGTGGATACCAAAAGCACAGACAATATCCAGGAACCTGGCATTTAGTTGTTTCATGTTGTAGATGCTACTGGCAAAGTAACAAGATCTGTAGGCAGTACCATTCAGGAGTCTTGGAGAACCTTGTGATAGTCAATTGCCAGGTAAAACTTTTGAGAGTACTTCTTGAGCGTGTTGTATTTGATTGTCTTGCACAAAGCAAATACCATGTTCACTTCAACCTCATGTTAATTTTCCTTATACACAGAGATGGCATGGGTGATGAAGGTACTAATATGACTACTGATTCGTAACCTGAATCTTCTAACAAAAAAAGCTTTTTTAACTTGTTTCTTGTCTGTGGTGGCTCATTCTTCAGTTATCCTATTCTCCTAGTTGTTTTAACAAGTAAAATTTTGTAATTCACTGGCATCTTCTGTGCTTATTCTCCAAATTGTTGCTAGAGAGAACTTTGCTGTATAGTTCAATGAAAATAAATTTAAAGTACAAAGGAAAAGTCCCTAAGGTTGTCACCTTAGATGTTACTCTACTAGAGTTACTCTGCAATAGACAGAGCATATATGCAACCATGCTGTTGGTGTCACCCCAAGGGTGACATTCCCAGAAGAAATGGAAGTGCTACACAAGATTTTTAAAATAGAGTAGAATTGTACAAATATGCTATTTTGATACAGTTTGATTAACATAATAAGCAGTTGAGGGAACTTAGCAGACTTGTAACTCTCAGTCTTTTTTACTTTGTGGAAATTTGCAGTGCTCTTGAGCAAATTATTGGTGTTCAAAATCAATATTCTTACTAGAACTGTAAGAAAAATATCGTATAGAATAGCAAATTGCAGTTTAGTAGCAGCACCACCCTTATTTGAAGTGTGTGCAGTGCATGAAAATGCTATTCTGCTTTTAATGTGAAGCCTGAAGCATGACAAGCACCCGAAAGTATGAGAAGGTTTATATTTAACAGTTTATCTCCTTTGGTTATTTCTATTTTTATAGGAAGCCTAATAGTGAAAAAAGAAGTCATTTAATTAAAATTATAGATAATATTGACTGTACTGAATGTTGGTTTTATAAGGACATGAATTACAAAAAATTGCTTAGTCTGCATATGCAGACTAAGAAAATGAAATGAAGTAGCAGTGTGGTTCTGGCATGTGTAGAAGAACGGAATAGAGTATTTTCGCTGTTCTGTGTTTACCCATACTCCTGGCAGCCCACTGAAAAATACATATACTTCTTAGATTCTGAAAAAAAAAATCTTAATTCATAAAGCTCTTTCTGATTAAAAAGAATTTTTTACCTGAATGTTCAAATTAAAACTGACTTGATGTGCCTTATTCCTATAGGTGGTTTTGCTTTTGTTTATGAAGCTCAAGATCTTGGAAGTGGCAAAGATTACGCTTTAAAGGTAAAGGGAATTTACTTCACTACAGATTTGAGATCTGTGTCTTTGCTTGATGTTTCAGTGCAACAGTATATATGCCACTGATCAAGTAATTTGGAAAAATCCAGAATGATGAAATGGTGGTTGTAGCACACTGTATCTGTATTTATAATGGGCATTCCTATTAGGACACTCTGCTTTATACTTAGATGCCAAAGATGGGAGTTGGCCTTTTAGGGGCTTCTGCTATTTGTTTTCATTTGGTCTAGAAATTCACACACCTACCTCAAATATTTTTTTACCTGGTTAAAAGAATCTTCCAGTTACCTGCAAAAGGGTACAGAAATATTTTCAGCTGTCAGAAGCAGATTTGGTGTACTGGTTAACCTTTGTAATTCCAGAGTAAGCTTCATCAATATTAAAAACTGTGCTCCATACTTTGAATCATTCATCAGATGTTCAGCCTGGCACTTTTTAGAGACATCTCTGTGGATTCTTGGTTTCTGAAAGCTTATAATGATCATAATAACGTGAAAAACTGAAGTATTAAAGAAAGGACAATAAAGTAATTTGTCATATTTTGCTGCAAAAAAAGGAATGTCATTTGTGTTCACCACAAAATGGCTTCATTTTTGGAGTAGGAATGTTCTGTGGCTTTATCAGTATGAATACATTGGCCTTGGAGAGAGCAAAAAGGGTTATAGTATGAGATATGGGACAAGTAAGATGTGATCACACCACCAGTAACTACTTTGTGTTTTACTTTTCGTACCACATCCTACATCCTACATTTACAAAGCATGGGACCAAATCTTTCCC